ATATGCTTAGTATCTTAGATAGAGAGGGCAGCTGATATAAGTGGGGGTAAAGAATGGCGATCTTATGTTTGTAAAAAAAAATAAAATAAAAAAGAGCTCAAACATTCCTCAGCATTGCTTTCATGGATCTTCCATTTCTCTGAAAGGTCAAAACCTTTCCAACCTGTTTTAGTGGTCCAGGATAGATTTAAAAAAATTAAATTGGGTTTTTTTTTTTTTGGTTTAAATTGAATTAGTTTTAATAAAATTCTTTTTCAGGAAAAATCTAAAGATAATTTTATGTTTAAGATACATTATAGTCCAAAGGTTATTTATCATAAAATAAAGATTAATTTTTGATTATGTCGCATGAGTCTCTTGTCATGCAATGTTTACATTTCTGGTAAATGAATTCTATTTGCAATGTCATGCTCTTCCAGAAGTTTCTGTAAGATTATTGGGCAGTTTTTCTGTTTAGAAGATACTGTCACAGATGCTTGGTTTTACAGTTCTCAAAGCTGTAAATTTGTGTCTGCAGAAATCACATGCCTCTTCTGCACAGCAAAATATTATAAAATAAGCATACAGAGTTGAGAAAAAAGATCTTAATCCATTGTTGCTTTTCATATCTGTGTAGACAAAATCAACCCCTTACCTCTTAAGCACTACATTTTTAAAAAATGCAATGAATACAAGACTGTTGGGAGTGGAATAGATCTGCACAAGAAGCCAAGTGTGAGGTGGGCAGGGCAAGCAGTAAAGAAGAAAGTGAACCCTTTTGAGCAGAATACTGCATAAGTCTTTGGATCTTTTTTGTGTGTAGCCTGAGGTTTATCATATTATACTTCTCCCCTTGGAAGAGAAAACCTTTAATGGTAGCAGGCTGTAAAAGAGATCCAGTTTGGGAATATTTTAATGAAGTTACCTACATGTAAGGCAGGCATGCCTGCAAATTATGTAGAAAATCCTGATTTAAATCTAGCCTTATTGACTAGTCCTGTAGTGGTCAGTAAGAGATACTGGAGCGTCATTGAATTAAGATCAGCTTGAATAGGCCACAGGACTGCCTGTCTCTCCACTGTGGGTGTGATGCTGCATGTCTCCAGCTGCCTTGTCAGTCATGACTGGCCTGGGATTCATCGCACAGTAGCCTCTTGCTGAATTTATTAAGCAGGACAAGCTGAAGAATGTGTGAGCGCCCACAAGTGTGTGTGATTGTGTGTGGGGCTGGGGAGGGAAGACCTCTTGCTGTTCCTGCTGCCACAGTAAAAAAGGCATGGAGCCAGCCAATACGCAACAGGTGTTAAGTGGAGGTCCTTGAGTTTCCTTGGAGGCACGTATGCAGGTGTTAAAGACACATTGCTGGAGAAGGGGTTTTGTTTTTTTTAGTTTGGCGACCTGTCAGCGTTGCAGATCAAAATATGACCAAATGCTTACTTGATATGTCCCCTCCAAAACAGTGTTGCCTCTTTTCACTTTTAAAGCAACTGTTTGCTCAGCTCTCAGTGGCCTTAAAGGGCACATATGAAGTTGCCTTGTACTGAGTTTGAACTTTGGTCCCTTTAGCTGGATATAATTGACACTGACTGGCAGTGTTCTGGCAGGAGTTTTCCGTCCCTACCCAGAAACACGAAGGGAATTGAATCTGGGAACTTCTGCATGCAAAGCATGGCCTGTATCTCTGGGCTGCATCTCCTCCACGAACTTTCAAAGCATAATGGCAGAGGGGGAATGGACCACCTACTGTTTACAAACACACTTATTTATTTCAAATTTATTTATTCTCAAATTAAATGCCACTCTGTAGCCTGACAAGACTATACTTATATGTGGCATGCATACATGGCTTGGTATCCTATACCCAACAGAAAAATGCTTGCTGACTTGCTATTATAAATCTCTCTAGAAAACAATCACACAGCCGGTCTAGAATGTCTGTTAGTTTTTATTCTTAGATCAGTCTTCCCCAAACTGGTTCTGCCCAGATATGTTAGACTGTAATTCCCATTCATTCCGGCCAGCATGGGAATTGCAGTCCCAACACACCTGGAGTGCATTAGGCTGGGGAAGGATGGGCTTTGATTGCAAGTCTGCGAACAAAGATGGCTATAAATAGCAAATATTAATTGCATCTAGACTCAAACCTAGAAATGAGAGTTCAAATACTGATCCAGGGCCCTGCTTACTTAAGAGCACATGTGCATTGTGTTTCCGTACGGGCAAAAGCTTCCTTGTTTGTTTGTTTTAATGGAGCCAGCAGCTTCAGCAAAGAAAAAAGAATCAGGCACAGAAAAGAATAATCTGTCATGAAAAGGACTTCCTTGGCAGGTGTGGAAACTCTTTGTATGCAGTGGAGCATCTGCACAGGTAAAAAACTGAGCTGAATTCATGGCAAGCCTTTCCGCAGCAAGGTGAACTGGTTTGCCCTGGGCTCTTCCATGATAATGAAAAGTGTTGATAGGTTGCCACAGAACTGTTTAAGTGTTGGCCCTGCTGGGGTGGGTGAGACAAGTGGGCAGTCAGGGTTCTGCTTCAGAACAGAAAAGTGCTGGGTTTGCTTTGACTTGAACTGGGGTAGGGTGGCAGGGTACAGTGGCTCATTTTTGCTTCCTTGCATGTTTTCTTTCAGGAGTTTTGGGATGTATGTTCAAATCTTTTGTCTGTAACCCTGGAAACTAAGATCTGAACTTACAGAATGAGATCAAAGACATGATGTTTTCTTCCTAGTATCGCCTTATTGCGGCCCTGTTAGGAACATGTTGTCCTGTGCTGTTTCTAAAACTCCCATTGTTACAGTTGGCTAGCTTTTGTTTTTAAAAGGACTTTCTTTCATTTCTTCTTTCTGTACATGCTTTAAGCTTGTGCTCCCTGGCAACATGTAATTGTGCTAGTTGGGCAAATTAAGGTATGTGTTTATAGAGTGGCACCTTTGCTTTTCCCAACCCAGACATATTGTAATTGCTGGAAGCAACAGACTGAATTATGAGAGAGGTATTTTTAACAAGGAAAGTAATTAACTAATGTTGCAATAGAGACCTAAGAAGATGGGGTATCTCCCATCATTTTTAAGTCACTTTAAAAACAACAACAACCCTCCCTCCATATTTATAAGAATAATAAAGATGCTGCAGGAAAAAAGTCATGCTTTTTGATTTTGTTCACAAAAGTACCTGATGGTGGTCCAGGGATGTATCTTGTGAAACGCATATATAATCTAAGTAGACTTGTAAAATGCTCTTTTTGTTGAGTTGGGGAGGGGAAATAGATTCATGTGATTGCCAATGTTACAAGAGCAATAACATGAAAATTGTCATTTAACTGCTACAGAGACAGATGCAGTGAGAACACCATCCAGTCATATTCTTTGGATATTTTTCTGAGGATATAGGCAAACCTCTTGAAGGACTGAGGCCTAGCACTTGCATTGGATCCTTGGCAGGTGCTGTGATTTGGTCTCCAACAAAGTCTGCTGGTCACTTGTAGTGGCGGCTTGCGCCTTTCAGAATTCTGTCCTGAGAGTTGAATAGCTTGCTCCATTGGCAGCTGCTTTTAAAAGGGCTTTAAGAATTATATTAGTTATCTCTGGCTAAAGTTTTCCTGGATTGGCTCTTCTTTCATATTTACATTAACTTTATACACCATTATTTGAAATAACATTTTAATTTAGCTGCCATTTTGAAATGTTTTAAATAAATAAATAAAGCATAGAAATGGTTTAAATAAATAAATAAAGGTGCTTTCTAATTTTACTGATTTATATTGTCAGCTACCTTGGGGAGCATCTGGTCTTGAAATGTAAGAAATCTATTGAAGAAATCTATTCAATGATTTAAACAAACAAACAAACTTCCCCATTTGAGGTCAGCGTCATAGGTATTCCATGTTAGGGAGGGAAAAGATGGTGCATGGAGAATAAGTTGAAAGCAGGCATATTTTGTAACAGGCCACGACGTCATCACTGAACTTGGGGCACATCAGCCTCCAGTTTCCTGGCTTTGAGGAGTTTGATCCCATGGGTGATAGCCCCAACTGTGACCAAGATTTCCCCCTTTTCTTTTTAGTCTGTCAGTTCCTATGGTTTTTTAAAATATATAATTACTGTGTTGACAGTTCTATCAGCTCCCCTAAGGTTTTTCAGTCTATGGATGCCTGCAGCCAGAGTTTAGTGGTTGTTTGATGCTAAAATAATGTTCTGTTTGCCTGGCCTGGCTTATTTACTCTTTTGGCTTGTGCCTTATCTATCTGCAAGCTAAAATAGTGGAGGCTGATTCAGAAGCCTATTTTAACACATTTTAGGTTAAATGGATTTATAAAAGGGTTTATCCTATCCCTGTATAAACAATCACATTGCATCGCGACCTTTGTGTCTACCTGTAGAAGTTCACACCCTCTATCCAAACAACCTAATTTCTGTACTAACAAAACTTTAATTTTGTCCTGGGGATAAATTCTTCAATTCATGCAATTTAAAAAAGCACTTAATATGTTGCTTCAGTTGTGAGTTCAAAATATTCTGAGGTCAAAAAGGGTATGGGAGGAATAGGACAGAAGAGTCTGAGCTATTACAAATGACAGGCCCTATACAAAAACTCTTTTGACTGTAAGACCTGCTCAAGCATCCAGTATAATTTCCAGGTTTTCCACATAGATCACCTGTATAATTTCAGCTCTCCTTCATATCATGGAAAGCGACAATCATATTTTCAGGGAAAAATGACCATGTCAGGAAATCAGATCACTCTTCCACACTGAGTGCAATATTGAGAATGTGCAGATGTGTGCCTAAACTGTTTCTTGCATCTATTAGAACATGAGATCCAAACTGAATCTGAACAAAGGAACTTTATATTTTGAATATAAACTTCAAAATATAATTCTGCACTGTGAATATTCCAGGGGAGACCTGACTGGTGTTTATGTCAAATTAAATCAGACTCTACAAACATGCCCTCTGTTGCAAGATGTGACAAACATTTAATGAAAAACCTTTCTAAACATCTTTCTGTTACTTTATTTTGCAGGCAGGAAGAAAAATCCAGGGCTGAAAATTCCTAAAGAAGCGTTTGAACAGCCGCAGACAAGCTCTACGTATGTGTATCTTGCAATTACACTTCGGTGGGGTTAATGTGGGAGAGGGTTTGGCTTATTAGGCAGCCATTTTTTGTGGTCCACCAGTGCCCTCCCCTCACTTGAGTCTTCAGACACATGCACAGAAGCCTTCAGAAAGTGGGAGGTGGGGTCATCTGTTTGTGCAGGGTATGGGGAAGCAAAGGAATTCTTTCCCGCTCTAAAGGAGCTTCACTTCCAAGAAGGAGAGCAGAAAATAAGATTTCTGCATTAGGAATCTGATTGGTGCCGGCATCTTGCTCATCAGAAAGCTTGGTGCTCACGTCCTTGGCAAACTTATGAGTGGATTTGTGGTTGCCAGGATTGAAGCGACTGTACAAAGGAAAGATTTGTTCATAGAGTTGACTTTCCGTAGTACAACTACTCATTCAGTTGACGTTCAAAGTGGGCTGGGATGGTGAAACCATGGATTATTTCTGTTTTCCCTGGTGTTGAAGGATAGAACAGTGAGCAATTGTCCAGGTCCTCTAAAATAGTGAATCTAAACTAAGGTCTTATTCTGCGATTACAAAAGTACCTTTTAACCTCTTTTTACTACTTCTGGTACTTATAAAGAGTTTAAGGGGACAAAACAGAGTCATTTTACAAATGCATACACTAAGCAGAAGAAATCTGGCGATTATGATGTTAATAGGATAAGGAGTCTGGTTTAGATTGATTTGTTTAATTTAGAAGAAAGAGTAATGATAGTGGTATAATCACTAACGATGACTAATCCAGGAATAAACAACTTAGTTGGACCATCTAGATGTTCTGGACCACAGCCCCCATAATCAGATCACTGGTCATACTGGCTAGGATTCATGGAAGCTGTAGTCTAATACATCTGGGGAGCCACAGAACCAGCGCTGCATGTGCTAAGATGCTTTTGACCTGCTTTTTCTAATGTCATGCCTGGATGCATTTGAAGGCAACCATTTTCATGTCTTTTTATAAGAACCTCTTGCTTTGGTGTTTGTTAACCCTCGGGTGCACCTAAGACATTTCTTTGGATCGTGACTATAAGCTGCTGCATTGAAGCAGTGATTCTCAGGTTGCTGGCTTGTTAACAGGTTATCAGACAATTCATCACAACCGGATCTTGCCATTTATGCCAAGGCAGTATATTGGGGGAATGGCATGTAACAGCTTGTTGTTTTGACTACAGCAGTCATAATGAACAAAGCTCATATTCCTTTTGCCACCTTCTCCCGTCTTTTTGAGTTTGTGCTATGTCACATTAAATAATTTTTGAATCTGTTCTTGTCTTGGAAACTGCACTCAGCATTATTCTTGGAAGGCAGTCTATTGCTTTCAGAAAGCATGTTTAGATTGCAGGCGCAGAGAAATAGATTCTCAGATCCTCAAAATCTGCTGACTTCCCTGTTGCTTGAGAGTCTGCTGACAATTCATTGGGTGGTGCCACAGGCTTTCGGCTTTCTTCATGGTACCAAGCTATAGAGTGCTTGTGTCAAGTTGGCCTCTCTCCAGAATTCATCCTGTCTAGCGCTAGACTTATTTTCTCTTTCACGTGCTTTGCTTCCTTCAAAAAGTGCTCTGTGAATTCTGCCCTCAAGATTAAGCATTTGCAGTCCCCCCTCTCCTTCTTTCCATGTCAGACAACAGAGCATCCAGCCCAGTGAAAAGAAGTTTGATCTCCACCACAAACCTGATGTTGCAGATGCAGTCAATAGGAAGGCTTGCAAAAAATGAAATTTCTTTTAGCTTTTAATTTTCTTGTGGAAAGCAATTTTTCTTCTTTTTACTCCTTTCCTCTTTGATCTTTCAAAGGGCATTGCCTACATCATCAACTGATAGAGATAGTTGTGTCTGTGGTATTACGGAGCCTTGTGCCTGGATGCTGGAATAATAATACTAAATCTGTGAATAATAATAGAGGAGTATATTGGATTGAGAAGACATTGCTTGAGTATGGAAGGATTTTGACTTCAAAGAGGAAGATGCAGTGCAAATTCTGTAGAATTCTCAGACTCAAGTGAGAAGTTCAGAGCTTAGCTTCTTGGACTGGTGAAGACTTAAGTTAGAGCCTTCAATGAATTAATTACCTGCTTTTCAAATAATTTAATTGATAGATTATATTGATACAGGTAACTTTTTGAGGTCCAAAGGCATCACTATTTATCTGTTTATTAGATTTATATTCCAGTTTTTTTACACTGAACTCGGAGCAGCTTACATCATTCTCCTCTTCCTACTCTCAGTCTCATCCACATAAGAACAACCCTGAGAGGTAGGTTGGGCTGAGAATCTGTGACTCTCTCAAAGTCACCCAGTTGGCTCCATGGCAGAGCAGGGACTGCAACCCAGGTTGCCTGAGTCCCAGTTCTATGCTCTTAACCACTATACCTACACTGGATTTCTACAGCAAAATGTGTGGCTGCCACCATAAGCAGACCATGATTGTCTTCAGAGCTCTAGTGCATCGGCTCTCCATAAAGACCGGCAAGGTTGGCAGGCTCCAGTCTTATGACTTTTCCATTAGTTGTCTTACTAGATATGGGAAACCCAGGGATGCTCATGTTTGCCCAAGTTCTTTCAACTGCTCTTCAAGGCTCTGTTTGCCTTAGTCCCATTCTTGTTGGCCGTCTGTTTTGCAGTTCATTCAAATGGTATAATGGTAAAAATGGCACCAATTTTAGAAAGTTGTGTACTTTCTGGTATGTTTTTAAGTTATTTATTTTTCAAAAAATTTAGACCTTTAAAAGTACATATTTTTAAAAATCTACATTTTGTGAACATAAATGCATATCTTGGAATTTTCAGAAATTTTTGGAGAACCTATGTTCCCATTTGCATTTGTAATTGTGAATGGAGTATTTTGAGTTATTTGCAAATTAAAACAAAATTTTAAAATATCCTTAGACCCTGTCTTATGTAATTCCCCTCTGAGAGATATATGGATGATGCCATATATTGCTTGAAAAACAGCTAATAAATGACTTAAATTAGTAAATCACATGTCTAGTAACTCTCTTCCATCCTAGTATTTAGTAGAACTCACCTTGCTGTGAGTTCCTTCTGCTTTGCCATGGAGCCAGCTGGGTGACTTTGACCCAGTCACAGATTCTCAGCCCAACCTACCTCAAAGGGTTGTTGTATGGATGAGACAGCCGTGTACATTTTCCCATTCCTGCTCTTCATCATTGTCTGCTTATGGTGGGAAATAGACATACAGCTCCAGTTTTCAGTAGCTGGTCTCTTTTTACCATAATGCCTATGGGAAATTGAAAGAAATGTAAGCTAACTTAACTGTTTAAAACATGCAGGAAGGAAAAGACATGCTTAGGATTAAAATTGGCAACACCAATACATTCTGTCAAAAGAAAAATGTTTAACCATGTTATTAAACACTTTATTCAAAAGAATGCCACACTGATAAAAGTCAGCAGCCCACTTGTGTGTGCAATGTTAAGAAGCGATTTCAACAAGTTGTAGTGATTTAAATGACTTTTAAAGGGGATTGGATAAATTCACAGAGCAGAAGGCTGTTAGTGCCTATGAGGCATACTTGCGATATGCTCTCACCACCATGAGAGGCATAATGGTTCTGTTTAGCAGGTGCTGGGGAACTAGGGCAGGAGGGTCTTTTTGCACTGACTGGCCAGTGTGAACAGCATGCTGGACTAGACAAACCTTGGTCTGCTGCTGCATGGCTCTTCTTACACTTCTATGAGATACAGCAGGCTTTGCAAGTTAGCTGACACACCAGATACATGGGACTGGATTTATTTGAGCAATTCAACTTAGCACCCCCTTGCATTTCTATACTAGTCTGTACCTTGGTTTATGTATTTGTTTAGACAGTTTTTTTTAAAGACGCATGACCAACCCTTTATGTTCCACTGTAAAGAAGGGATTTATGGCAAAGCCTGGCATTGCTCACTTGGCTTGTAGCTATTTCTGTCATGGATTAATACCAGATAAATAACGTCTTTTGCAAGCTGCCTATAAATAGAAGGGTATTTCTTATTTATGGAAAAGCTGTAGGATCTTACTTTGGGTTACCTGGATTAATTCCTTTCTTGTTACATCATGTAATCATTTGTAGCCTTGTTTTCTCTTTAGGTTCCTTAGCAAATCCTAGTTTTATTTTACTCATAGGGAAATGAATCACAGAACCACTTAACTGTTGCATGGTATCAGCATGGTATCAGCATGGCACACTGTACGTCAAGTTAAATATTCTGAGGTTTAAAGATTTGTCAGCCTAGTGCAGTGATTCACATATTTACATACACATAGGCCACCCGTTGTCCTTTGGATAAGATATATTGTGTGGCTAGTTACAATGGAGGCAGGGTGGTTTGCTTGTGTAATACAGTAGATCAGATTAGATAAAGTCTGCATGTGCAGAATGCAAGGTTAACTATTATTTATTTATTTAGATTTTTTGTATGCCGTCCCATCGCTTAAAGCCTCCGGACGGCTTACATAAAATAAACATAATACATAATACATATAATACCAATTAAAAACCCTGATTCATCCTGGCTGCAAATTAAAACTTATAGATAATATTAAAAGTCGTTAAAATATTGTTTAAATAAAAAGGTCTTAGTCTGGCGCCATCTGCTTAGGGGTGAGAAAGCTGGGAATGTCCAGTTTCCCACTGAATCTTCTTGCCCCCCTTTATCAACAAAGGGTCTTGTGGAAAGTTAAAGAGGAACTGTTTTATTCTGGCTCAAGTTTTTGTGGGCACTGTCCACTTCATTGGATGCTTGAAGTATATCTACAGATTGCCCACCTGAGGCATATAAATCTGCCAACTTGAGGTTAGCACTTCATGCATCTGAAGGAGTGGACAACGTTCACAAAAGCTTATGCCTACAAGGGTGCATGCTGAGTTTCACATGTGGTCCTTTGCACACTGGCCATAGAAAAGTAGGAGAAGGATACTAGGTTCAGGACAAGGAATTTACACCATTTAGGAGATGTTCGCCCTAAATTGAGAGAATGCTTTCTAAATTTATTTTGCCAAATTAAGCTTAGTATATACTGTGCATAGCTTCAGTGTAGTGGAAGCTATTATAGTGTACTGGGAAATAAACCCAGTGCTTTATTTTGCCACGGGTGGTGGTGTGAGGGAGGACTTCATTATGTAAGTTGTTTAATAAAAATGAATGAATGCCAGTTGCAAATGCAGTGTTCAATAAGCTTACCAGTTTCAGAGCTACAAGTAATGATTTTAGGTCATTATTTTGGTGGGAGAAATTTGGTGTTCCTCAGTGTGAAATGGAACACACTGCAACAAAATGACTGTATAACTGAAGGTTCCCCTAAAGAAAGAAAAGAACTCTGGGGAAAAGGAAAAGTGGGGTGGGTTTTAGCATATACTACACAGTTCCTTGGGCGGCTTTAGTTTATTAGTGTGCCAACCAATACGTTGTGCTTGTAAATTCTCAGATTCTTCCCTTGGTTTTTTTTCTTCCAACTTTTTCTATTTCACAGGCCACCTAGAGATTTGGACTCCAAAGCCTGCATCAATATTGGTGACAAGGTATGGACAAAATAAAATTCATCATCTAAAGAACTTCAGTGATACAATTGGGAAGGCAGTGAATTAAAACAGGGAATTGGAAGTTACCTGGTAATCCCATTTGTTGGCCGAGAAGCCATTTAACTTCTTTTCCTCTGCTTTTCTCTATTAAAACTTTCATCCATTTAAAAAATTAAAGAGCTTGGGGTTCTTATGTTGATGTTGCCTTAGCTCTACTTCAGAAGTGTGAATGCAGGGTGCATTTCCAAGTTTGCTTGTTGTTTCAAGAGGGAGTATTTCTGCTTTACCTTTGGGTATCAGTAAACAGTCTGCAGTGACTGAGAAGCAGCTGAAGGGCTATCTGGCTTTCCTCTTGGCAGGTACCTGCAGTCCATCCTCAGGAGCCACCTTGAATGATGCATGTGCCCATAGTCAGTGCCATGACCCACCTGTAAATGTGTAGTCACACAATGATAGCAAGCAGCTTTTGCCATCTTGACTGCACAATTCATGCAGCTGGGCTGACTGAATTGCATTCTGGTCATTCTGCCTCTAGGACAGAGCTTCATTTCCTTATTCATGCAAATGTGGGTTCAGGCATGCCTTAGTCTATGGTTCAAGACGAAGGCATGCCTGACTAACGCTTTTCAAGTTTGAAGGTGCATGTTTCTGGATAAGAATATTGTGTAAGTTCACAATTACTGCTCAGCATTCACAAAAGTTTGGAAGATCCTATGCAAATTACTCCCAAATCATGTTTAATGTCAAAGACAGAACCAAACATTTAAAATCAAATTATACCAGTAAAACCATGGCTAGCCAACGAGGGAAGGTTTGCTTAAATAACTGTTGGAAAACAAAGCATGTATTCTGGTTGTAGGTATTCCCTTGTATAACTGGAACAGGTATAGCCTAAATTGTCAGACAGTTTTAGAGTGTGAGTTCTGTTCAGTTCCTGTGACTCAGAATTGTCTAATTCTATATGCCTTTTGTACCAGACTTTAGCTAGTAGATCACTGGGTTCTAGTTAAAAAAAAAAAAACCGAACAGATTCTGCCAGGCTGAATGCTGCCCATCCCTGCTGTAGATTGCCTCATTCTGCAATGACTCGTATTACCCCACCATGGAATAACCAAGATTGATAGGTCTGCTTGCATTTCCCTGGAAGACATTGGCAGCACCCTTACCCCTGCTCCAGCTTTATATGTAACCATCCCCACAGGGGCACCTGCTTACTGATATTAATAGCAACAGTTGCTCAGTCACAATATGCTTATTGCTAAGCTCTGGCTGGCATTAGCAACTATCTGTACAAGGCATTTCTGCTTCTGCTTGTAGCCAAGAAAGCTAGCAGCCTCTCAAGGCCTTAATTTTCATCCGTCCAAGAATGAAGCAAGCTCTGCTTGCATAGCAGATGGATGCAGCCAACAGAATGTGCCAGCAGGCCTACATACATTAGGGGAATTCCATGAGTGTGTCAATAGATCTTTGTGTTTCTAATCTGTATAGTACATTTCCTTTGGATATAAAGATACATGGGGAACTGCGGCAAATTACCGCCATGTGAATATTGGCATGGCAAGCAAGCACTCAGCTGGTGAAGCAGATGTAGTGAAACGAACCCTCTGTTGCTGGATGTTAGCCACTTTGTGGCAAGTAGAAAGCATCAGTAGGAGGGAGAAAATGCTGGCACCTCTGGGAGTACTGAAGATTTCCACAATTGAAACCGAACTCCACTTTATACTCGATACAGGAAATATTCTTGTTGCACACTGCAAGATGTGGCAGAAGTGCATGCTGATACAAGCATCTGCTGAGTCAGGAGTGTACAGTTCCAAAACACTTCTTGGAGACATGGCCCAGACCACGTTTCCCATTCGCATGAACTGGTTGTTCAGAAATACACATATGTGCATTTATTAGTGACACCCTGGACACATGTGCCTTAGGCGGCAGTGCTTTCTCCAGCAATCATGATGTGTGGTGCTGCCTGTGCAGATGGAGTGCTGGAGGAGGAAGGAGATGAGGGTGTGCTAAGTCACCAGGACAAGAATTCTTCCAGAGGGCGAAAGAGGGGACTTGCTTTCTGGTCAAAGGACTTGGAAAGAATGTGCCTCCAAGCACAGTTAGCAGTGCTAACATGTTTTTGTCTTTCCCATGTGGCTTGTTGATTTCAGCCAGTGGGATCAGGTTATTGAGCTAATTCTTGCATCCAGGGATGTGCCTTATCAGTTCCTGTTTTCCTACTTTTCAGGTTGTAGGAACAATTTTAGGGGCCAGCTAGACATGATATTAATGATATGAAAGCTGTTCACTTGAGTGCTTCTGTTTATGTGCGCATTAGACCTGGAGAAGGCTGATCAGCTTTCTGTTCGGGGAGTAGGGGAAGCAGTCCAGTGCTTTCTGTCCTTGCCACAGCTCCAGCAAAAACTTTCCCTTGAAGTTGCTACTTTTATTTCAAGGGAAGTTCCTATTCATGTTAACGGAGGGGAAAAAAACCCTTCAAGTCTGCTTTGACCCTTAGCTATGTATTTTCTTCCCTTGGTGCAGGTGATTGGACTGGATGATCTGCTTCTTCCCCCCATCCTTGTGGCTCTGCTTACTCCCTTCCAGCATTGGTTGCTGAGCAGCACAGCATAGTGTTAGACTGGGACTCAGGAGACTTGGGTTCAAGTCTGGGCCAGTCACTGCCTCTCAGCCTAACCTACCCCACAGGATTGTTGTGAGGATGAACAGGAGGAGAGGATTATGCAAGCTGCCTTTGGTTCCTTGCAAGAGGAATATAGGTAGGGTAGAAATACAATACCTTATTACAAGAACTATTCGTTCTTACCCGAACCACAGGAAATCTGTGAGAGCATGGGTGGGCAGACTTCAGGCTTACAGGATCTATCGTGTTTTGCACCAAAACCCCAAAGTTGCCAGTTGCAACATGCTGGTTCAATAAGGAAGACACAGAATTTGCAGAGCAAAGTGCCTTTGAACAGATGCTTGGCACTTGAATTGGAGCTCAGTGCTCTCACTCATCCTTTCATAAATAAATCTGCTCTTGCCCCCCTCCCCCCCCCCAATTCTGATTTCAGCATTGTAACGTAGGAGGGGGGAAAGGCTTTTGTCTGTCACTGTTGGTGAACCATAGGGAGTTGGAGATCTTTATAAGTCTATTGCAAGTAGACCTTGATTTGCTTTCCAATTTCTCCTCGATTAGAAGAAATATTACAGCAAGATTAAGTTAAATAACAGTACAGCTGGACAATAAACCTGCTTGAGCATTTCTCATCCACTTTTGCACCCAAGCTGCAGTGCTCTAATTTATTGGCAAAGTTGCAAATTCATTAGCATTTTATGAGTCTGCCTGTCAGAATTTTTATTTTTCCTCTAGCATTTTGGGATGGGAGGGGTAAGAGAGCCATCTGGAGCACAATGACCCAGTACTGAATCAAAGAAGTGTCTGATGTAGCATGCCTTTGTTCCAAGAAAAGCAGCTTCCTTTCAGTCCCACGGAAGAGCAGAGCAGAGCAGAGCGGGAGAGAAATGTTCCCAAAGGCACTGCTTGGGGAGGCAACACATTGTGGTCTGCCTTCACATTTTGATTGCCTTCACAATCCCCTCTGTCTGCATTATGGAGTTTCCTTTAGAGGACAGGGATGAAGTTTGGTCTACTGCTCTTCTTAGCAGTTAAAAGCCACAAAAGGAAAAGGCTGTGCTCAAGGTCCCTGTGAAAACCCATAAGGGAAAGTTAATAGTGCTCAAAAGCCAGGAAGCGAGAGACGGAACTGGAGCCAAGCCAGGAGTGTGGCCTCAGTGGCCAAGCCAGACTTCTGCACTGCAGTGGGTAGAGGGGGAGAAAGAGTAGAGGCCATCCTTGCACGGAGGGAGGGAATCACATCTTCTGTGCCACATCTCAGTTGCACTTCTTTTGTCTAGCCCAGCAGGGTTGGAAAGGCAGTAGATGGTTCTTTAATTTATTATAGTTGCATTTTTATTGCCAGGAAGGGAGGGAAGCATTTGTAGACTCTTCTTCCTTATGACCCAACATAATGTGGCTGGACCTGGATACCAGGGTCCTTGACCATGAGGTAGTGGGGTGGGGAGGTGCTAACGTACTTTCCTGTCTCAGGCAGCACGGTGCTTTGGGTTGACCCTGCAGCCAAGCAGTGACACACATGGCTGAGAAAAACAGTATGGCCACACTTTTGTTTTAGCATGCGCAAAAATAAATAAAGCAAGCAAGCTGATGTCTAAATTAGTCTTGAGTTTGCATACACATAAGTTGTGGAAGGTTTGCGCATAAATACTCATGTAGGAAAAACAATGTGAATTCAGCCAGAGGGAAAGCTCTTAGAAACCTTTGAACAAATAAACAGATTCTTATTGTAAAAAGCATTCTAGTGATAGAAAGTTAAACAATTAAAACATTTTGTGGCGTGTGTATACTTTCTAAGCAATGACCTCCTTTAGGAAATCCTCACTTACGCCAGTTTGAGAGGAGCCATTAAGGTTGCCATTGCGAAATTGACCGTGCTGAATACCTAGTGGGCAGTCCCATTTTCCAGCCAAGGATGCTGGGAATTGTAGGGGTTCCTGCTGTCCGTATGTACATAGGCTTGCATCCTCAGAGGGGTAGGTCCCCTTATCCACACAAAGGGAGAAAATTTAGAGGTTGGCAGTTGATTTGAGAATTCCTTGTTTGGCTGCATGAGAGTGAATAAGCTGCATTTTGGCTTCTGATAACTTTCTCATCTTTATTTCTTCATAGAATTTTGAAGTCAAGGCTGATGACCTGGAGCCAATATCAGAACTAGGACGTGGTGCATACGGGGTGGTAGAGATGATGCGGCATATGCCCAGTGGGCAAATAATGGCAGTGAAGGTAGAGTGAAGCTCTGTGGTTATTCCCATTTTTTATTTTTAACCTTACAAATTCATGATGTCTCCCTGCCCCAGGAGCTATTGATATTTTTTTTGCAGCACTGCAATACATTCATATATTGAACCAAACTGGAAAGCCACATGGAACAAGCTTGAACTCCCAACATTCATTAATGCTTGAAGGCCCTGAATGAGTCATTTATCAATGTTCCATTCAAGGAACTGGAGAATATGCTTAATCAGACAGAACATCCATAATACAGAGCTCAGCTCCTCTGTATTCTAGCTGACATCTACCTGGACCAATTTGCAAGCATGCACACTGGCCTTGCTTTCCACATGTTATAGTTCCATAGTAAATAAACTTTTCATTGTATTCTTTCTTCCATTTGGATTTGATTTCCATACAAGAGTGGGTTAAAGTATTGGATTGTGTGGGCATGGGCCTCCTCACCTGCTGTTGCATGGCCATGATTGCTTTTGTGGGCTTCTTGGAAGTACTTGCTAGACTAGTGTCAGGAATGGGATGTAGAACTAGATGAACATTTGCCCTGCCTTCAGGGACCCTCATATCCTTAACTTGGTTCTCGTAATTTTTTATATCTTTTCATGGTTGTGCTTTTAGAATATCGGAGTCTACTTTGCTGTTGAGGAAAGCCTGTATATGGCACACTCATTATATTGTAAATGGGCTATTTGCATCCAGTCCTAACTGGGATGTCATTAGGCATGTAAGAGAAGAGATATGAAGATGTGCACATGAATACATTGTTTGTATATTCAAATATTCTTGGCCAAATTTGGTGATCATATTACCTATACCAAGTATACTGGGGTGTGAACAAGCATTATGCCCACACTTGCAGCCATTTCCATCTCCCTTCTTGGCATGCTTGAATGTGCTTTGAACCAGCAAAAGATGCTTGCTCACCAGCTTTGGACAAGCCAGGATATTAAGCTAGCCTCACATCATGGTTTCAGATTCACATTTGCTGTGAAGTGAAGAGAAAGGGTTGTTTGCAACAGCAAAGGGTTTGTTCATATACTGGGTGGTTAAGCTGAGATATGATCATCCATACTGGGCCTTTGTCTTCTATTGCTTAATATTTATTATCTTCCTTTAGGTATAAACCCCAATCTGTTTTTGCATATTCACTAATAGTCTGGTTAGGTATGATGTTATGGTCTTCAGAGCTTTATTATTAGTCAACATAACCTTTGTTCCTATATTATGGACAAAAGAGATGGTTTAAAAAATAAGTAGCTACCTGAATTTCACTGGGAATGTTGTAAAATAGCAAAGTCAGCTTTATTTTCCTCTTAGGTAAGTAAATCACACAGTTCATATAATTAGGCAATTTCATTTTGGTCTGTGATGATGATGATTTTTTATGTCAGATGTTGACAAACATGCATCTTATACAATCCTTTAGAGACCAATAAATGATGCATTTTTTAAAAAAAAAGTTCTGTTAGTAGATGGCATGAAATTATCTTTGGAGTTCACATTAAATAAAGCTTGTAGAAAATTACATTGTTTTAATTTTGAAGTTGTGAAACCAGAAAGAAAAAAATAGTTTATTCAAGAACATTTTCACATTTCCAGAGTGTTAAAATTCTTGGGAAGGAGTTTGCTTCCTGCTTATATTGGCATTGTCCTGCTGAAGTTGATTTACTGACAAAAATATAAAAAGTGAGAATTGACTTGCTCATTTCCTTTCTAAAAGCTGTGAGAAAAGCAACTCGGGCTTTGGGGACTCGGGCACGTAGTGGTATTACTGTTTAATACACAGTTACAAAAGCTCTCTGATGAAGGTAGTGAACACTGTTAGTCCATGGTTAATCCAAAGAGCAAGCAGAGAATTCTTATCTACCTTTTTAATGTGTGGCCCATGGTGTCAAGCTCTTTACATCCTAGCAGGTTAGAACAAATTCCAGTGTCTTTGAAAAACAACTCCATGCCCATACACTTCACTTAATCTTGGGAAGAGTGATCGAAGTTCGTTCTGTTCACCCAGTCTTGCCCTACCTCGTGTCCTTCAGATGTCTTGGACTTCAGCTCTCAGCACGCCTCTTCATCGGCCATTCTGGCTGAGGTTGGTGGAAGCTGAAACCTGGAATATCAGGTTTGGCACTAGTTTGGGGCAAGCTGCCTCAACTGTTGTTACGATCCCAGCAGTACAATAACATCATACGTGACCTTGTAAAGTTCTTCCTGTAGGTGTAGGAGGCACCAGCAAGACGTGCCTCTCACCTAGTAGACAGAGGCTGGTGAGCATGGCAACTGCTGTAATCATGCTTTGCTCAGTAGAGATGTAACAGTTAACCATGGTTGGTGCAAACAATTTCTGGGAAAACCCACTTCATCCCATGATTTTACATCCTGATTTGCAGCCAATCTTCAGACAGGGTTAAAAGGTTATGATATGATGCTTAACCACATTTAAGCATTATGTCTGCGCAGGGCTATTCATTCTGATCCAGAGTGGTACACACTGACTTCTCCCATAGCCAGGAGTTTCCTGACCACTTTAGCATTGTGGGGGTGGGCATCTCTAAGCATATTGTAGGGTACGGACATGTGGACCCTGTTCCAGACATGGATGTTAAAGAGAAGGACCTTGCTGAATGCATCAGAGATGCTGGACATGCAAGGAGCCACTGGGCTGGGTCAGCTTAAGTGTGCATTACTAATCCTGGGCCTCTTTCAGTAGCCACCCTCCACTAAACGTTCTGCCATCATAGCTTTGGTAATGATGGAAGAACAGAGAAAAGAGAGAGAGAAAGAAAGAAAGAGAGAGAGAGGAAGAGAGAAAAAAGCACTTCTGTAATAACAATCATCCTTTGCCCTTCTATAGCACCTCACATCCGAGGATCTCACAGTGCTTCCCAGACATAAATTACGCCTGTGAGGTAGGTAAGCATTATTATCCCCGTTTCACAAAGGCACAAAGAAGGAGGCTTTAAAAAACCACACTGCTTCAAATGTGGCCTCTAGTTATGGGTGCCTGTTATGAGACACTTGCAACCTAAGCCTATGTATGTCTGCACCGACGTAACTCTCACTGATTTCAGTGGGACTTACCCACAGGTAAGTGTGCATTGCACTGCACCCTGATTGTCCAAGGGCCACAAAAGCAATATGTTTTGTCAGAAGGGACTAAAACTTGGGAGTTTGGCCTTCCCAAGTCAGTATCTCTGCTGGCTCGAACCAATGTGGCTGCGATCAGTTTTAGCTCTTGAGATTTACCTAGTTTGGAGGATTCCTGCTTTTAACTGTCAGGCCACGGGAGTTCGCTTTTCCTTGTTGGTTAAGAAGAGCAGTAAAGAGGTGAAAACGCCTTAGAAAAATATTCATTTGCAAACTTGTTTGGTTAAAGCAAGCTGAATGACCTCACTCTTGTAGTTTTTGTGATCAATGATCTCTTGGATGAAACGATGCACGTGGGAATGAGAGGGATGCAAATTAAAACTGGGTCTGTCTTCCAGCGAATTCGCGCCACAGTGAACAGCCAGGAGCAGAAGAGGCTACTGATGGACCTAGACATTTCCATGAGGACAGTAGACTGTCACTTCACGGTCACTTTCTATGGTGCGCTGTTTAGAGAGGTATGGCTTTATGAATCCCAGCATGCCTCCTTCACCATATTTGGGCCGCACTCTTGCCTAGTGACTTTCACAAGCCTAGGAAAGTGGCCAGGCAGGGGAGCCAAAGGAGGTGCTCTGTCCCTGAGCTCTGGTCCTTCCTCGTGCATGTGTAACCTTGGGGTCACCCTGACTGAACATGGGCTGTACTCTCAAGTGTATCTCTGAGATCGTCATTGGGCAATTTAAGTGTGGTAGCTTTAGCACCCTGAGAAACTTTCTAGACCTTGAAAAGTGGACTCTAAAATCTTGAAGACTATGCAGGAAGAAGGTTTAATGCCGATATTCTGGATTTCTGTTTAAATCAGTATGTATAAGCACAAGTTGGGATTATGGAAGGAATCCACAAGTAGCTCTTCTGGCAAAGACCTTGCTTAGCAAATGTGTTGCCTTTTCAGACCTGGGTGTTTCCATAGCTAAAAGGGAGCCAACTTGGACATGTGACTTAAACAAAATTGGCACACATCTCAGTTGACAGGCCTCCACAGATGCTATGTTTTAATAGAAAATTTTGGCAACAAAGCCTCCTTTTTTGCTGCCATGCTGCCCTTAAATTTGAGGACTACCAAAAATGGCTGGGGAGGGATATACTTGGGCATGTGTTGCTCACCCCTGGATTGCATTGTTCTTGAATGGCAGAGGTAACTTGTCACCTAGTTTTGAATTTTAGAATGCGAATGGGAAGCTATAGTGACGAAAACCTTGCCCCTGGCTCCCTGGATTCTGTATCGTCCTGAGAGTTTGGTACATATTCGGGTTAAAGGCCAGGCCAGGCCAGGCTTCAGTGTGTGTTGGAAGAGACATGAAAAGTTATAGGACCAGCAAGCTATAGAACACAGTGTGCATATAGTTTGGTGGAGGCAGGACAGTGTTCATCAAAGTTGGTAGCCATTTCCTTTCCCTTGCTTTTTCCTAGGGAGATGTGTGGATTTGCATGGAACTTATGGACACATCACTGGACAAGTTCTACAAGCAAGTCATTGACAAAGGTTTGACGATTCCCGAGGACATCCTAGGAAAAATAGCTGTCTCAGTGAGTGCTTTGGGTTCTTGAGTTTACTCAGTTACGAATTTAGCACCCTTTCCATCTTTGCAGTTCACATCTCTCAGTCAATATGTGAAGCTGCAAAATAAGATGGAGAAAGAATAGCAGGTGCCTCCTTTTAAGAGCTTATTCTTCTATTTACTGTACACTGAATGAATATAAGATGTACACTGAATGTACAACTCAGTTTGGATCCCATTTCTGAAAGTGGGTCAGTTTTGACTGAAGCAATTTTAGGCACGACCTGCCTCATCTCTGATTTGGAGTGAAGCCTTGCTTTAAAATAACTGAAGCTTTGTATGTCTCCCTGTTGATTGAAATTGGAAACTGAAAAGAGCGATAGCTTTTCAGCTTTCTGACACAGTGGAATGATGTTTTCAGGTATAGTATCCTTTTCTGGGTAGTATCTGGCCAGTCTTCTCTGTAATATTGGCCTAGCAGCTCACAGAGTTTTTGTGCAAAGGGAGTCATTTATATTTCCAGCAAGTTGCATAAAAATTACATACCACAAAGGGGTGACACTAGCTAAGTAACTTGAAAATTTCAGGAAGGTAGATTCAGCGGTTGGGGAGCTGAGATGAGTAACAAGCAGTCTGCTCTTCTGTACCCGGCCCCAAAGCACTGTGATTGGAAGTAAAAAGGAGAACCCGAGTTGCATGTAATTTTTTGGTTGGAAGCTGCAGCTGTCAGTCACATAAATATTTCCTCTTTCTCCTTCCATCTGCCATTTTCCTTTTATGGAATGCTTGCTATTTTTTGCCATCAAAATCCCTATCCCCCTCCTGCTGTTTGCCTCTTGGTCCCTCCCCTCTCCTTTGTAGCTGGGAAAAAAATCACAGGGTTCCTTACTCTTATGAAATGTGTCCTTTAGCTACAAAGGGAGACACTTTGTGTTACGGGGGCAGGAATTCCAAGATCCCCTGGAATGTAGCCACCCAAACTTCCTAAATAGCAATGCCACAAAAGTTGGGTGCACTCTGATCTTCAAGAGGTCAGGGCACTGATCTTTCTTTTGAGCATGGTGCTAAACGTGGCTGGAGGCACAGTCCTGAGTGCCATGAATCATGTTTTATCACCCTAGTGCCAGACTGCAGGCTCAGCAGTAGCCTGCCTGTTAATTGCCAAGATGCCCAACCTAGACTGTCTCCACCCCGGTTCAGTGTTGAAAGAAGGGTGAACTTGTGGCCTGGCTCTGGAAAAGAGAGTGCAGTATACCTGCCTCTGCCCATTCTTGTCTATGGTTGTGTTTTCCAGATTGTCAAAGCATTAGAGCACCTACACAGTAAGCTCTCTGTAATTCACCGAGGTAAGTGCGACCAGTGCTGTGGCCTGTCACAGTGCTTGATTCTAAAAAGGGTTGGCATGGATTGTGTAAGAAGAGCTGTGCTTCGCTCCGTTTTAAAGCTAAACAAAGTCATGGGACTCAATCTCCTTGCTTGGCAGGTGCAATAGTTTCCCATTTTCCAAGCCCTGTTCAGAATGCCAGCTTGGACCTGCCAAGTTGTATCCACTGAGTACTGGAGTGTTCATTTTGACCATCATGAGTGCATACTGCAAGCCCTTTTATACCCGAAGTGCCCCCTGTGTGATACGGTATAGTGATACCTGTACTGTGAGGATTACTGCAGTAAATTGGGTTAGAAATGTTGCAAATGGATGCCTGTTTGTGCATCAGATCTTTCGCATCACTTTCCCTCCACCACATCCCCAAAAAGGATGTGGTGGAGTGTTGGGACTTTTGCAAATAGTGGGAGCTTTGGTGTGAGGGTCACAACTGTAGAGAGAGATCAGGCCAAGGCACTTTCAGCTCAGACAACTTTGAGTCTCACATTGTGTTACATGCACTGAGCAGTTCATTAGGAAACACATAGAAAGTGTTGCACGATGCTGTTGTCACTGTATAGCTTGGACACTAGAAATCCTACCGTATAGGCATATAGTTGCAGGCAATCTCGGCATCTTCCACTCCAGTTAAAAAAGAAAAAAATGTTATTTACCAACTATTCAGAGGAAGATAATTGGATTGCAGTGGCCTTGATGCCGAGCTCCTGATGGCCAGTTAACAACTCAAGAGACAGCTGAGGGAAGGGTGACTCCTACACGTGTTTAAAGTGGAAAAATTCCTGTGTCTCCCCACTTTCCCAGCCTGCATGTTTGGCTGGGGAATGCTAGGTGCTGTAGGACATTTTTCTGTCTAAATGTGCATAGGATTGTACCCTAATTCTCCAAATTGTTCCTGCCTTCGTTCTCACCAATGTTTCTGTTGTTTTAGGGGTCTCTGGCTGGCCTTTGCCCCTGTAACGTCAGTGTTTCTGAACATTGGGGTCTAACACCATTTAGAAAGAAGAGGACATTTTTTCTTCTGGGGCGGGGCAGGGTGGGGAGAGCCCTCAGGAGGGGCCATGTTCCCAAGGATGACTTTCAGTTTCTTCATCAAATTTAGTAGAAAGTTAGAAGAGGATCTGCACCATTATTTGTCCTTTATCCACAGCTTTTTTCAAAATGGGTGTTCTACAGCAGAGTTCTATAGTTGCTTAGTTTGGAATGAATACCATTCCTGTTCTAGAGCAAGGGTGGGACAATGGTGGCTCTCTAGATAATGTATGAGCCCATATTGTTTGTAAGCCGCCCCGAGGCTTCGGCGAATGGGGCGGCATAAAAATGTTTTAATAAATAAATAATAAATAAAATCCCATCATACCAAGCATGGTCAAGAATGATGGGAGCTGTGACTAGTGGGCCATGTGTACCCCCTCCCATCCCTGGTCTACAGCCAGTGTGTGCTTCCTTACCTTTTTGGATCCTGTGGTTTTGATTTAACAAGTAAAACATAGCTGGTTCTGGAGCCCTCTGGTGGTAGCAAGCAGTTATTTCCTGCTTCCATAACCAGCTGCAAATGACCTGCTTGCTAGACTGACTGGCTCTGTGCATTCCACCTTGCAGATGTCAAGCCTTCCAATGTACTGATCAATACACTGGGACAGGTGAAAATGTGTGATTTTGGAATTAGTGGCTACCTTGTTGATTCTGTGGCCAAGACAATGGATGCTGGCTGTAAACCTTACATGGCAGTAAGTACAAAGAATTGAAAAACATTCATTGTCATTGTAACACTGATTTCTGTAATGGTGTTGCCTGACTGCTTTCTACAGGGGCACATTTTTCTTAATTTTGTTTATGTCCAGCATTTATATACCTCACCATCTAATGCAAGCTCAAAGTAGTTTACTGTCAAATTGAAAGCAGTGCAAAATAATGAAAACAGGAGAAACAGCTGAAAAGACAGCAAGAGTGTACTTAGTACTTTGCAAGCATTGCCTGGAATAAACTTTTCATGGGAGATGTTCTGGGACATTGTTCTACTTTTGCTGAAAAAGGCCAATATTGGGTAATCTCCCATATTTCTGAAGCTGGGTTTTGCAAGATTATTTCAAGAATCGGAGCTTCTAGCATCCATTTCCAGTTATTGCTGAAGTTCATGATTCACTGATTTGCAAAACAGATTTCCCTAGTTTGCTCTGGTAGGCATTGTGCTACCTGTTGGTGAGTATGATGGACAGTGAGCCTTCCTCTGAGAACTGAAGCTGTGGAGAGGGGGGATTCCTTGGGTAGCTGGACAGCACTCCCCCTTCCCAGCTCTGCAGCAAGGAGGAAAGAGCCTTGGGCACACAAGACCAGTCAGTATCCCCCCACCCCTGGTCCACCCAAGCCTTTTTCCCAGAGCTGCTTCCCTCCCCTGCCAACCTCTCTCTCAGGAAAGACTAGTGGACAATGTGTTGGGGGCTGCTACCTAAAGTGGCTCCTGGGCATGCCTTAGGCAGCCAAGTCCAATGGACTGCATTTCCTTTTTCTGCCTGGCCTTTTTGTTAAGGATGTGGGAATATTGAAGTGTGCGTGGGGATAGTTTTAGGCAGCAGGGCCCCATGGGGAATGTTCCTTTTCTTGGCTAACTTTTCCCAGGTGAAGGGTGATGGAGTGGGCCTGCTTCAGATTTTACTTAATCAGAAAGTCCTGCCAAATACCGTTGAGTTCCAACCACACAGACTGTAAAGCAAGATTCTTTCAATAATGTGGAATCCTCTATCTCCTGTAGTCCTTGGTGTCCTGCACACACATATCTGGGAGTAAACCCCATTGAAACCCAGTAGGACACGCAGAGAAGAAGACTGTGAGACCTGGACTCTGACTAGTGTGATCAGTTGAGCCAACAAACCCAGCATTTTTAAGGCTCTAGAAAACTGAGTAAATCTGGGGAAACCTCCAGGCCTTGACAACAACATAGTAGTACGACCCTTCAGCTTACCTGTTGAAACAAGGGGAAGTCATCTGATCCCAAAGAACTGTAGCTTAGACCAGGGTTCTTTATACACAGCTTTGTAAGTCATCTCCTCTTGGTATCAAAGGTCTCCGGAATGTAGAATAAGCCCTCAGTCTTGAGGGTTAATTAAATGCAGATATGTTTCAATTCTAATGGTAAAATGTTTACAAGAACCTCATTTTCATTTTACACTAAAAATCAGGACCTAAGGTCTGCTCACTGTTTCGAGGACCTTTAAAGGAAATGCACTTTTGGGAGGCCTCTCCCAGAGTCTATGTACTGAGTCTGTTATAAATTGAGGCAAATTTGTCCATCAGTATTTTCAGCCCCATCTTGTGTCTCTTTCGAGGGTGGGTGTGGTTTCCTAGCAAGAGAAAAATCACAATTGTCTGAAAGTTCAAAACTGGTTCTCTGTAATCAGGATGCTGCTCTTTTTAGAAATAACAGAAGTTTGGGAATACCGAGGTTCATATCTTAGCTGCCATTTGTGAGTCCATCCTTTTTTGGGAAGCCTGTCAGTACTGCTGCGTTTCAGTGTCTGCAGGGTGTGAGCATTAGCTCTAAAATGGTCAGTAGGCCTGTCTAGTGATGAATGAGGCTTTGTGCTGCCACATAACATCCAGAACTACCAGAGAGTTCTTCATTTTGTGTTTTTAGTTGACCAGCTTCCTCAAGCACAAGTTACTAACTGGTTTTGACCTTTGCAGTCCTAAATGGTTTGAACCGGAGGTATCAAAAGAATCACTTTAGCATCTTCTGCCTTGAAGTTAAAAATTAATCAGACTCCACCTCTGAACAAAGCCAGATGAAGATAGCGAGGGCACACAGAGAGACATTCATGGGGTTTTCTCCTTGAAATCTCTTTGAAGCCTGAGAGTGAATCTGATTAGATTTGTGCTGAAAGCAAATTTGTACACCCTAATTTGCTTTCACGCAAATAGAGAAGGTTTCTCTTCTCCCTCCCCAGCTCCTTTCACTACTATTTAGATTTAGAACATGGCAATCTGTTTTCTCTCTTTCCACCTCCAGCCTGAAAGAATCAACCCTGAGCTAAACCAAAAGGGATACAGTGTTAAATCTGATATTTGGAGCCTGGGAATCACAATGGTAAGAGGACACTCCTGTTGTGCCCATGAAGGCCTATGAAATGTGTGTACTGAACAGATGCTAACTTGGGGGGAAATTCTGCACTGTTCTGCTCATATAACCCATTCAGATAAACACCTGATCTTTCTGTTCAGTGGGGCGGGGCCAGAACCTGACTCCCGAGAGCAGAGGACTCCACTTGCAGGAGGTCACTCTGCCCACCTTCGCCCATCACCACAGCTCACCCATCTCAGCATGGTCTCCTGTCTCTCTATGCAGCATTATCAGGGGGCAGGATGCGGGAGGGAGAAGCCCACCTCTTTGGGGGAGGTGGAGACAACTTACATTTAGATCGAGTCCAAAAGACTTGTGATCTGAGCTGCCTGAGATGAATCTGAACCCAGTGCAGGCTGTTAGCCTTTAATACAGCAAAGTCATCCTAAGTGCAAAATGTATCACTTTTTAAAATATGTTAGAATGTTCTGTAGAAGGAGAAATAACCATTTAACTTTCATGTCCTCTACCCCATCCCTGTTATTGTTACTTAGGATGATAGAATTACAGATGAACAGAAATGGTGTGAGGGGTAAGATTAGAGAGAGAAGCATCTTGATGGAGGTCTCTTTGTGCTAGTTGTGTTAGTTCCTTATCTAGTTTTTATTTTATGGTCAGAGACCAGGAAGACTTAAAAAAGGATAAAATAGCTGTAGAAAAATTAAAATACAGTTAAAACAAGTACAATTTATACAATGTTTTCACTTAAACGCTTGATCACAGTTTTCCTAATCTGCACTGCAGTCATAAATTTGGCAACATTTCTAGTAACATAAGCAGATACATCCCTTAGATACATAGATAGCAGAAGAATTATTGGAAGAATTATTCCCATAAAGATCTTTTATTAATAGCTTAATCAATTTCTTTCGGCATAATTCTGGAGAACTATGTAAGCCGCCCTGAGTTCTTTGAAAGGAAAAAGGTGAGATATAAATATAATAGATAGATAGATTCCCTATAAAAGCTGCAGTATAAGAGAACATGTTCCACTGTTTCTATTGCTCCAACACCACAAGAACACACCTGTTCATTGACTGGGATCTTATTAAATCTTGCTTTTAATAGTGCTGATGGAAGCACATTAGAACATGCAAAAGTAAAAGCTCTTCCGTAATTTGGGATAGTTAGTGTGTACAGATAAGGGGCTGGGGTTAATCCATTATTATAGCAATTATTGCAGTTAAAATCAAATAGTGAGAAACAAAGTTTCACTAGCTGCAGTTCTTAAATATTGAAGAGCCAAGAAACTGGGATTTCTCCAGCCCATGGTTGCCCAGCACTTCTGCAGGAAAACCCAGCCTATATAGCTTCGTGTCCATTTTTCTCATGCATCAGTTAACATATGTAACTGAAAGTAGTAGAAATAGGTAGCTACCAAGAGCTGCTAGAAAAGGTAAATATAGTCCCCATTTAAAGGCCTCAGTGCATGTCTTACACGCAACAGATCGAATCCCTACTTCCAGATAAATGGCTGCATTCCATTTACAGGGATGAAGGCCCAAAAGCCTCTGAAAGAAAGAGAGAGAGAGAGAGAGAGAGAGAGAGAGAGAGAGAGAGAGAGAGA